CCACCCCTGCCCATCAACTCCACTTGCGACTGATATCCAAATGGCATGTGCTTCGTTTACTGCAGGTGCATGCGTGGCCTAAAAACAATGTGAGCTTCACGCCTAAAAAGTCTGCCGTACGGCGAATAAACAAATATGTGCAGAAATTCCAAGCCTTGCACTCAATCGTCGAGGTAGAAGGACAGAAATATGTCTACTTCTTTGTAGATGGTCAATGTACATGCCTTTGTTGTTGTCCCGTTTTGTCTTCACTTGCTCCTAGCCTTGCTCGTGCTTTTTTGCTTCGGTTGTAGGGTCAAAAAATTGTAATATCTGCTTTTGTAATAGTGTTTCTAATATATGTATATATATATATATATATATATATATATATATATATATATATATATATATATATATATATATATATATGCAGACTACGTCACGCAGGTGGCTCACGGACATCAGCAAAGTCACAGAGGCAAAATTCTCAGTAGTTGTAAAACTGGTCTATTTCGTGAAAACAAACAAACACACCAACAAACACATCCAGCCGCCAATGGAAGTAGGAAGAGAACAGAGGTGTGCCACTATTGTAGCTATTATCCATGAGAAGGAGGATGAAATATTCAGTACGCTGTGCACTGTCCTTCACAAAAGTCACGCGCGTGTCCTTGGACAGGCTTTTCTCAAAGATTGTCCTTTCACGTGTGCTAGAAAGAGCGCTAATTGGCTGGACTTACACTAATTAGCGTCCATGGCTGGTTGATACAACCCGATTTAGATCCTCATGTCAGAACGGGACATATTATCAGCGGCCGAAACCACGACAGTCTTCCTTTTAAGTCCGCTTGTAAAGCGAATGGGGCGACATAGAGCGGCACGACGATCTGAGGGCTCCAAGTCGCGACTTCGATCGCTCGAGAGTGCGGTGACACCTGCCGCGCTCCGGCCAGCGCGGCTGAGGCGGCGCTGGCCGGGCTCGCCGCGGGGCGGGGCCCGGCGCTGCTGTTCGGCGCGTTCAGCGCCCGCCTGGCGCTGCTGTGAGTTGTCCAGCGCTGCTGTGCGGCGCCGTTCAGCGCGCGTCAGGCGCTGCTGTGTATTGTGCAGAGCTGCTGTTCGGTGCTGCTGTCCGCCACTCTGTCCGTCACCGTTTAGTGCGCTCCGGCGCTGCTGTCCGGCGCCGTTTAGTGCGCTCCGGCGCTGCTGTCCGGCGCCGTTTAGTGCGCTCCGGCGCTGTTGTCCGGCGCCGTTTAGTGCGTCCCGGCGGTGCTGTCCGTCACCGTTTAGTGCACTCCGGCGTTGCTGTCCGGCGCCGCTTAGCGCGCTCCGGCGCCGCTTTTCTACGCCGTTTAGCACGCTCCGGCGCTGCTGTCCTGCGCCGTTCAGCGCTCGTCAGCGCTGCTGTGCGGTGTTCATCCATCGATTGCCGACGTCCGCCAAGGCCAGCGGCCACTGGGACGGCCGGTAGCCCACAGAGACGGGCATCAATACGGCCGGCCGGCCAGGGGCGGTGGCCGCGCCGCACGCGTGTCCGGCCGAGGTCGCCATAGAGACCCGGCGGGCAACAGGGGGCTGCGAGCTGGCGGTGCGGGGGAGGCACGGCACGGAACAGTAACCACCAGCCAATGGGCGACGCTGCGATCCTCTCACTGTGAGCGCTGCCGTTTGGGAGATAAACACGAAACCCGAATTGGTTCTGAGGCGATTGATTCCTGCTGCACAGGTGCAGACCACGCCGCTGGCAGTGAACGCACCAAAGACGGCAGTGGCCCTTGTCCCATTGTTGACCCCGACTCCTGTATCCGGCTGGTACTGGCGCTTCCCGTTCCGTCGCGTCTTCTTGGTACCTATGTGTAGCTACTTTGAGTGATCTGATATTGCACGACACGACGACCATATGCATGGAAGGAGCCATCAAGATAACAAGGTTCGTTTGTACACGACGGCATTGTCACCGATTAAAGTCGCAGATCCCATGGTTTACATTTACTCAAAGGACTACATGTGTTCCCTGTTTTGCACGCTGTCCGTAAGACGCCAATGAATCATATTGTTGAAATATTAATGCTCTCATATATGTACTGAAACACGCAATATCGGGGCTAATGGGATTATGTGTTGTAAAACGACGTTTCATTCAATTCATAATGGTTTTGTGTTTTAGTCCATTCGACGCAGTACCCATCCATTACAAGCGCTCGGTCGCAGAGGCTTCAGAGCCAATTCGGCCTAAAGAACGCAAAGACGGCAGAGATCCCAAGTGGGCGCTTAAAAGGAACGAAGTGCCTTGCCCCATGCTCCCTCACTGGTTTGAAGTTCGTGTTTTTTTTTCGTTGTCGTTTGCGAAGTCGTGATATCCCGGCACGAGTTCGGATTTCTGAACGCTTCATCACATATCTAGCAGCCTGCCTCTTTTGGAGAGCTGTTAAACCATATTGCCACGACATCCAGACACGAAGTTCGTCTGACTTATGTGTACTGTCACCTTCCCCTTTCACCTCTCGCACACCAACTTGCTTCGGCGTATATCCTTGTACTCTGGCGCCTGCGCCTATCAGCCATCGTACCAATCCCGACGGATACCTGTCCTGAACTGCGCACCAGGCCCGGTTTCCCAGCCGTCGTAGGTCCCAGCTGCTTTTCAATCCCGACGGATACCTGTCCTGAACTGCGCACCAGGCCCGGTTTCCCAGCCGTCGTGGGTCCCAGCTGCTTTTCAATCCCGACGGATACCTGTCCTGAACTGCGCACCAGGCCCGGTTCACCAGCCGTCGTAGGTCCCAGCTGCTTTTCAATCCCGACGGATACCTGTCCTGAACTGCGCACCAGGCCCGGTTCACCAGACGTCGTAGGTCACAGCTGCTTTTCCGACTCCCGATTCTTCTACAGCCGTGTTTGCCCTCCCCGCACACGCATCTACCCTGGACCTTGCTACGGTCCCCGTCCCCGGCCCGCCTTACCCAGCTCTGGGTTCAATGCGCGGTCTCGGCGTCATTCCCCATGCCGCCGGCACCAGCGAAACCCTGATTCCCCGCCTGTGTCGGTCCCTGCAGGAGGCACATGTGTGTGGTGCAGGTCTGCGGTCGGCGCGCGCTTCTCGCCGCCCGCGCGGCAGGCCGTCATTGCAGCGTTACCATCCTGAGGTGGGCGTCAGCGACTGGCCGCGGTGGCCAACACGGCCACAACAGGCTGACGACTGAGGGGCGCCGCGCGCGTGTCTACAGCACGACCCCCGGATTGCCCCTCCCCCCCCCCCCCCCAGATACCGCCCAGGAGGTATAGGAGGTAGGAGGTATCCCCCCCCCCCCCCACACACCACATCTGGCGCTCGGCGCCGAGCGGCCGCGACGCGCCATGGAGGCACAACATACCTCCCTCCGAAGGGGTTGAGAATGCTCCAAGATGTATGTTGAATTGATCATTGTCGATCAGGCTAATGAGTTGACTCGGAATGAGCCCTCTGTGGAATGCGATGCGTTCCCGAAGCAACATTGCTGCCTTTAATGACGTGACACATGTCTAATGGGAAAGCAAAGCCATCCAGTGCGATTTAGCAAGGACTGCTCGAAGTCCAGGGCGGTTGAATTCAAGCAGCAGGCTCCAGCAGGCTTCAAGCAGCAAGGTGGTCCAAAGTTTTTACGGCTCTCCGGTTCTCGGCGGCGGCGGATGTTCGACTCGGGCCGACGCTTCGGCCCGGCCGATGGCGATGAGCAAACTTCCGCCGTTCTAGGTCGGACTTTCGTGCGAGTGTCTCCACCCTCCGCCTGCTGTCCAGCAGTCTTTGATGGTCGGGTTATGGCTGCTCAGGGCAGGTAAACTGTGGCGTCCAGTTCGTCACGCATACATAACAGAGGGCACAACGCAGTTATTGCCAGGCGCGCGCGCTCTGGCAGGGCCGTATTTTGGGCGGAGCCAATCAACCCGAGTGCTAGCGACCACTAGACGACCGGCTTCATAAGAACTGAGCCACTAGGATGTGATCGGCATTGATTTATCGACAACTTGACAAAAACAATTGGCATAATACCACAATGACGATCGTTGCATAGGGCAAAATTTTCCAGTGTTTGCCATCGCAGCCAGCCCTTGCTGAAAACAACATAGACATTGATTCGCCCCGAGTATGAGTAAGTAAATGAATATTCACTTGGGCGGTGCATCGGGAGAGAGGCAAAACGTCTGCGTATTTAAAACAAGCCTAGCGATTCAGCTGCTTATGATGGTCGAGAAGCTGCTCAGTGAAGGGAACTACAGATATCTCATAGCTGCAGAGTACCCTGATTGGGTTGGTGCAGCGGTGGAAATTATCACAATCGTTGGGGCACACCACGTCTCGAGCCACTTCTTCCTCCCCAACGTCTTTAAATGCATTGGTAATGTTCAGAAATGCTGGAGGGGCGGGGTCAAGCCATCCGAAGTGCCTGGAAGGTTTGGTACATGCTAATAACTGGGTGTGTTGTGTTTAATGGAAGTCGCGAGCGTTGCTTGGATACGACGCATGCAAGGACAGCACGTACTTGGATAAAACACGTACGTATTGTTCGTTGCGTGCGCAACGAATTTACACAGCATTGGAAATATGCAATGATACGAACATATGCACCGATTGGCAACAGCGGCAGATGAGACAATTCACCATGTGTTTAGTCATAGACAAGTTTGCAGCAAGCGTGCTTCGCGAACGTCAGCACCCTAGCCAATGTGTGGTGACACCGTTGTGATTTGTCGCGGGCTCAGTGGCGCTGGTTGGCTGAATGTTCTAAACGGAGACTACTCATCGGCGCCAACACCGCGGCCAGTTCGACCATTCCTGGCCGTCCATGCTTCATGTGGTCTGGGTGCTGGGTGGTCCCCACCAGCGGTCTTTGAACCACTATTCAGGAGTGTGCGGACGTGGTGCACCCCAAGGCCACGTGCTCCCCTTACCGCATCTATGATATGCATTAATACGACCTAACAGCTTGAGGGCGTGTGCTGCTGTTTGGAAGCCCATGCCACCTCCCACCCTCCGTCTGCAGGTCGTCGTCTTCATGGACGACAGCGTCATGCAAGTCTCCATCATCAACCCCGGGGATAAGAACGCACCGCCCAAGACGTTCACCTTTGACGGCGTATACTACATGGACTCCATCACGGAGAACATCTACAAGGACATGGCCTACCCGCTAGTTGAGGGCACGCTGGAGGGCTACAACGGCACCATCTTCGCCTACGGCCAGACCGGCTGCGGCAAGTCCTTCTCCATGCAGGGCATCCCCGACCCGCCCACGCAGCTGGGGCTCATCCCACGAGCTTTTGAGCACGTGTTTGATGTCATCAGCACGTCCACCGAGACCAAATACCTGGTGAGGATTACCGCATACTGCCCCCAGTGGCATGGCGTCATTACCGGGTCAGCATACACTACGGGTAAACGATGATTCGACGCTTTGGTGACGCTTAGAATTAACGTTTCTGTGAGAAAATGATGGGAAGCGGACAGGCCGAACATGATGTGCATTGAGCACAGCTGATGGAACATTAGGTGATGCTGCAGGGCAAGATATGAGTTACCACGCTCGAGTCATGAACTCATAGATAAGTCATATTGACGTGAGGCATTAACAGTTGGCATACGTCGCGTACTAACGAATTACCTGACGGCGATCGGTACTAGGGTTTCGCATAACCGAAAACTCTCACGGTCATTAAAAAGCCAAGCATACTACACATAACACGCATGACTTGAAGTCCAATGTCATGCTTTGCAAACCATCATTCTGGTCACTAAGTTTCTGCGGTGGGATGGTCGTGACGGTTAAGTTCAGCAACTTGCAGGAAGGTAGGGCCAACGGGCTTGAGGTGTGCCAGCTGGTTCTCCACCCCAGAACCGCCGTGCTCGACCGCTAACTCCCCTCACCACGTTTCAGGTTCACGGTTCGTACCTCGAAATCTACAACGAGGAGATCCGCGACCTGCTGGGCAACGACCCCAAGAAGAAGATTGAGCTGAAGGAGCACCCGGAGAAGGGCGTCTACGTGCAGGACCTCAGCCGGCAGCCGTGCCACAACAAGGACGACTGCGACATGCTCATGCAGAAGGGCTGGAACAACCGCTCCACCGGCGAGACGCTGATGAACAAGGACTCGTCGCGCTCGCATTCCATCTTCACCATCTTCTTGGAGATGATCACGCCGGCGAAGAAGGGGAAGGACCAGCTGCGTGCCGGCAAGCTCAACCTGGTCGACCTGGCTGGCTCGGAGCGGCAGGCCAAGACAGGTACAGAGCGGCGGGAGCGGGCTCGGACAGGGAGAGCTGCGCCCTGGCGGGAATGAGGACAGGTCAGGACAGACGCTGGATGATGGGAGTAGAGCCAAGGGAACCCAGATACGGGATGATAGTGTGGACATGGCAAGACAGATACTGCATGGGGGGAATGGGGACGGGCTAAGCCAGGTACGGGTTGATCCGATTTTGGGTCAGGCGTAGAGTTGTATGTGACGGGGGTAAGGACAAACCAAGGCGGGTCCGCGCTGACACCAGTGCGTGCCGGGAAGGGCCGGAGGGGGTGTGCGACGTCAGCTGACTGTAGGGAGGGAGGCACAGACAGGCAGGGGTGACTGGAGTGAGCGCTCGCGTGAGCCCGTCGGTGCCGGCTCGATGATGGATAGCGCTCATACGCAGCTCATGGAATGGGGCGGGGTCGATCCAGCATGACGACCTAGCACAGCGTCATCACTCAAAGCTGGGACCGTGCCCAATCCACACGTGGCTGCTTTGAATCGGCTCCTAGGCCCTGGTGAGGTAATTCACGCGGCAAGGGACGAAATTCAAAAGGCTTGAGGCATTCAAACGTGTGTAAGTTAGATAGTGCGGAAGCTTGCGCACAAGCTGCGCATCGCTCTCAGATTGTGCGGGACGCAGTAACGCCCGTCGCTCAGCCTGCGCCTTCTTCCCACGACTCCAGTGGCACACAGGGCTCAATCGCAAATGCTCACCCTTCCGGACGTGCTGTTTGCATTGCTCCAGCCCAGGCCTCAGAACGCACTTCCCACGGCTTCTTGCTTGCATCGCTTTCCGGCGAGCCCCATAACAATTAGCTTACTCCTGCGCTATGCAATTATTTGAGTAATGATAAGCTATTTTTAATCTGCATGCGGGAATAAGGAGCTCTTAATAAACTTCCGCGGTTGGAAGCCCGCATTTTTCCGTGGCATTTGCGCTTACGTATTGATTTGGGACGATCCTGGCCATTTTCGGCTGTCGCGGCAGACACATCCAGGGCAAACCGACAGGTGATCTATGAAGAGCATCGATGCGCTGGCTCCGTAAGCTGGTATTTGGGGGTATGGAAGGAAGTAGTGAGGGGTTGGGCTCAGTACCAGCACATTTGGAAGGTGGCTGAGGGTCCATGTCCTGGATACAGATCTACACGTCATGCCAGCAATGCTCAATATTTCACAAAGCAGAGGATGCGTGTTTATGTGTTTATGTCTATGTGGTGATGTGTTTATTAAGGTTTGTGAGATGCAGTGTTTCCGCGCCGTATGCCCGAAATAGTCAATGTCACATGACATTCATAAGTTCGACTTACCATAGTTGACTTGCAAAATATTTTCGATGGGGAATTTGGAATGCACAGTGGCCTGGCTGAAAGTGCACTATTCGAGGACGCTTTCCATCCCTATTGACACATGCGGTCATGACGACCCTGGCATTCAATGCAATCTTTCATTTATACAACAGCCTATATTATGAGACATTGCCTCCAGCCCCCAGCAGCTTCTCTCGGTTTGTTGGCGCTCTGTCGTCATCGCTCTGTGCCCGGGCGTGTCGGCGATGGCGGCAGGTGCCGGCGACACGCGCGCCGGTGCCGCGGCCGGCGCGAGCCGCCGATTCGGCGGGGGCCAGCTGGTTATGCCGGCATCGATCCATGCCATAAGGTGGCCGGGCCGGCCTGTTGTGTGACGTACACGACGCGGCGGCGGCTCGACGGCCACGGTGCGCCGGCTACGTGCACTGTGCGGGCCGCTCTGTGGAGGACGGGCCGGGGGGGGGGGGGGGGAGGGGAGCGGCACACACCATTTGCAGCTTCGGATGTCGTAGCAGCCCAGAAAGGCATCATTGGGGGCCCTCATTTTGTCAGCGATTCGGGCGTTACCGAGTCTAGAGATCGATTTATCGGCTGTTCCAAGTCAAATAGGCTGGTCGATTATTCACAAAAGGCAGCAGTATCTGTGATGGCGAGCGTTAGATTGGAGGACATCAAACCGAGCAATGATGTCTACATTCCAGCGGCGCCATGGATTTGCTTTGGCACTGGTGCAACGGAGCTATTCATGCCAATACGTACCGTCACCGTGACCCTTTGAATAGCACTCACGTGAGGCACAGACACACCAGTCAGCAGAGCACCTGATTTATGACGTAGTCAAATCAAGTCCTAAATACTCCAGAGCTCTGACACACAGGATTATAATTGAGAAGGCGTGGACTCAAATATGAAAGTTCAATTCCTGAGTCAGTGAGAACGTAGAAAGCAGCCTCGACTCAAACCGCAGGATTCAGCAAGGGCCAGAATCAGGCACTGAACGATACTGAGGAACCAGCAGGGGCCTGGATTCAGTCAGTAATAAGCATCGGTATAATAATAACAGAAGCCAAGGTTTAGCTCGGGACTAGCCCAGTGATCCAGCAACAGCCGATAGTCAGCTTAAAATATGGCAAGAGATGCAAAACAAGCTAGGATAAACCCGGGATAAGGTGGAGGAACCCAGCAGGAACCGCGGTCCTGTTTTGCAGGACCGTCAAAGGAACCAACAGTAACTACGACATTATCCATTTTTTTGCCAGGAACAAGTGCCTATTCACACCTTCACTTAATTCCCCAGCCATAGTGTTGGGTGCCTACCGCAGAATGCAGTTAATAGACCAGGTTCTCATGAAAGCTCTTGTTAGTTTTTAGGGCCACATGTCTCGCACGGTGAGTCACCAATTCTCGTGTGGATGATCGCGATCAGAATTCACAGGAACAAGCTCAGAAAGGCGATAATGAATAGCTCGTGTGCGCAACATCCTGGGTGGGTTCCTACGCCGACGGCATCCAATGCTTTGCCTGAGATGAAGAGCGCACTCTGCACCCCACTTTTGTAACAACCGCTTTAGAAAAGCGTCAAAATGACCATGCATACATGTAGTTAACGATCAATAGAGATGCGCAACAACCGGCTACCAATTTGCATGGCCAGAACACAGCCCGGTATGTCAGCAGTACGCAACATGTATATATATATATATATATATATATATATTATATATATATATATGTATATATATATTTTATATATATATATATATATATATATATATATTACAGATTATTAAAGATTTTGTCCGAACCCTTTTATTGGATGGATTTTTGGGATCATAGTCCACATTACGCATTTAGCAATGTGTGTTGCGTGAACCCTGATCCCGCCAACCGATTGTGAAATTTCAGGTACACGACAGCATTCTGCTGCGAAGGTTTATGTGCCGTAATGCTCGGCACGTTCCGCCCTCGCCTCGGACGTCACCTGACCTTTAGCGGTCGCTGCCACCGGCCAATAGCGAGCGATTAAAGTGTTCCAAACCCAAGGGTACCGCGGTTGGACGACTCGGAGGGAGACACTAACCAGCTGAGCTATCGGGACGGACAATCTACTTGGCCATGGACAATTTTGGACTCTTATGCCATGCTTTGCTCAAAACAAAGTTCGCATGGACAAACACTGGTCTTGCCAACTACCGATGTACTTATTGTGCCTCTTCCACAAGTGGCACACGTGTCCACCCCGTGGAAGCCGTAGGACCCAGGCTCTTGGAAAACCATCCCTGAAATAACATCATATCTTTCTTAATACACTTGTAGGTGACCGGAGAAACACGACTTTGTTATTAAGAGCGTAATCATAATACACGCTTTTCATTTCATTTCAGTTTATGATTGGGCTATCCACATCGATCGAAGTGGAGGAACGGTCTCCAGGAACGCTTTAAATATCTTCAGGGCCACATGGAAAGCACATATGCTGCTTATAGCCATTCCTCTCAAATTGGGAGATGCTCCACCCATCTTGACTCCCCCGCGGAATTTTCCAACAAAGTTTCATTTCGCGACTCCCGTAAACCGGTAGTCACAGCATATTCATCCCTTCGTTCCAGTAGCCATGCTCTGGTCAGCTTCCTAAGGCTGCTGAGGAAACAAAGCGAATCGTGTTCTATATTTTGTATCCGCTGTGTCCGCCTCTGTATCCGCGCTCTGTATCCGCCTCGATATCTGCTATATCTGCCTCTGTATCCGCCTCTATATCTGCTATATCTGCCTCTGTATCCGCGCTCTGCATCCGCCATTCCGCATCCGCCCTCCCGCCCGCTTCGTCCGCTGTTTTGCATTCTTACACACTTCGTCTTAACGGGGCTGCACTGCATGCCAGCTGCCGGTCGGCCCCGGCCTGGAGCCGCCCGGCTCCATTTTCGATGGAAAGGGACCGCGACACACATCGTCACGCCCCTTTCATTGAACGCCAGCGACTGGATTTATTCATATCGCTCACAGGGGTCATGGCGCAACCTGCTACGCCCAGACGGCTTCCAGCCCTCGGACGCTCCGTCAGCTGTAACTCAGTCTCTTAATGCAAGAGGCGGCAGGCGGCAGGCGGCAGGGGGCTAAGATCAAATTGTGGGGCAGCGCAGATTTCGGATTTTTCCTTTTCCAACTTCCTCTTTTATGTTCTACAGTGGAGGGCGAAGACAAACATTAGAAGCTAAGTCCCAAACGGGGCACAAAAATCACCCATGGCTGTAACAGCATCACTCACATTTTACCTCCCTCTTCAAATCCCTTAGCTCTGAAGCGTTCTGAGCATGAAATCCTACCCACCTAACCAAGATTGCTGCCTTCCGTTTTTGTACTTTTGATTAGGTCCCCTTTAAGCTATAACCGTAACGTTCATAACAGTTCATGCGTATTTTACAAGGAGTAGCTGCACTTCGAGACTTTGCTCTTAAACCGCCTTTAAAATGCAGCCTACTGAAGGTTAAATGCACACCCAGCTCCTAGCTTCTGGAATAATTTCCGAACCGCACCAGGCGTACCCACTACATTCTGGTTATTCTGAAAAGCTAATTTTCAAGGCATTTTGAAACGGCTGAAATATTTGGATCCTGGTACAGTTCATGGCGTTATAACGTTATCAGTGAGAGTTCGTACAACAACGTTTCCTGCCACAGGCAACCAATGATTGTGATTCTTTTTGTTTTGGGCAGTTTCATGTACTTATTCCAACGTTTGTGCTTTTGCCGGTCTGGGTTTGTCGCATTATAGCGGGTTACATCAAGCCTGAGGTCAACAAAATAATTTATTTGAGGTCATCTTCTAACCATCGAACCGAAAGGATGTATGCCGCTCATTTGTGCCATACACGATATAACTTGCGTGTCTCTTAACAAATTACCACTACAGAATGGTACCTACGGCAGTTTTGCCAATGTTGGGCCGATGCACCCTTTGATTATTTCTTTCTAGTCGACGCTCATATGTCAGTGTTAAATTTTCGGAAAATTTTGGAGGCTTCACCTCCCTGTCCTCCTTTTCGTTCCAAGACCAGAAACCATCATGTCTAATGAGGTCACGTAAACCAGACCTAACTTGACTTTGATTTGACCTTTACCCACATCGCAGTATGAATTTGACCTGCAAGAACATGCTTTTTCTTGAGTGCCAGCTAAAACATTATACAACCAATCTTACCGATGTTATAGTTAGCTGTTAATTCGTCCGCGAATGTTGATGATTTTTATGCCAAGCCTGTAGATTATCTCTTAATGCTTCTAAACTCTCCATGTTGAGCCGTGAAGTGGTGAGGGGTAACCCGTAACTCACAAACGGGTGTGGTTGGCAGAATGCCCGAGCCAGTGTCATTGGGGCTTTACGACGCACTCAGCTGCTGAGGCTATATGGAGTCGCCTGCCTCTCGCCATGGTAGGAAGGGCGGGCAAAGCGGGGAATCGAACCCCGTACCTCTGGTTTCCCAGGCGTGCAGTGGTAAACGCAAACGCCTTAACCATTACACTACCGGCACCCTATACCCAAGCCAGTAACAGGTGATCGGTTGTAAAAACGTTCTGTGGTAATGATATATGCTCACCATATAAACCAAATCAGCCAGCCTGCGGTATCATGACAGAACACCAAGTTACGTCGCACACCGTGCGCTTCTATTAAGGCATCAACCTTCCCATTAGCTTCTCTTGAATCTAGTAAAAGATCTGTAACAATAAACTCTGCACTCATGTTGCCATAACCGTTACAGCGTTGTGGGACATGCCTACGATATCTTTCAGCAACACGTTGCTATCAAATAAGGATATATTGATGGTTGACTATTCCCTTAAAATTCGGACACAGCCATGGTCATGAGGGCCGGTACGCATCGATCCCGCCATGCCTTGCAATGAGGCCCTGAGCAACCAAACTGTAATCGGATTTCAGAAATGCTCATCTGCTTTAACTTTAAAACGTTATAATCCAACACGTTGCGAGCGTATGCACTTTTTTACATTGCGAGTCGGTATAAGTTAACTCCATCACAATGCTAGTAAATAAGAAAGATCGTGCATGAAAATGCCGACATCAAAACACGCTGTCCCCAATCACAACAAAAAACGGCTTATTCCAGTACCTCCATCTAACCTCCTGCTGACATCGTATGGATTTGGCTGCATCAGCATGCACACGCATCATTCGACTATCCTATACGATGGGCATGGCGCCGATATTTGCTCTTAATCTTGACACGAGCCATGCCACAGGCGCGACTGGGGACCGGCTGAAGGAGGCCACCAAGATTAACCTCTCGTTGTCGGCGCTGGGCAACGTCATCTCGGCGCTGGTGGACGGCAAGAGCAAGCACATACCCTACCGGGACTCCAAACTCACCCGACTACTACAGGCAAGGCTCAAGGATGTCGGTGCTCTCTTGTTTGAACGGCTCCGCCTAGGTGGCGGTTCTTTCTGTGTGGTACGCGTGATGTCGGCTCAGCCGAATAAATTATGCATATCGCTGGTCGTCCCTCGCATAGATCTACGCAGCAGCCAGCGAGAAGCTCGTAGCCGATCGTTTGTGACCATCTCGTGTGCCACCTGAGAAGAAGGTCAAGAAGGATGCGACAAGGTCAACTGCGGTCCGATCAGAGCCTTGTGTTGTGACGTCGGAAAAAATCCGGGATATCCACGACCTGTGCCACCGGACTTCGTTTCCAGCCCACATGCCGTCGGCGTGCGTCGCTGTTGATATCTGCAGATACCAGGGCCAGCCGTCGACCCCGGGTCTCAGCGCCTTCCGTCAGGGTCAGTCGTCGACCCCGGGCCTCAGCGCCATCCACCAGGGTCAGCCGTTGACCCCGGGCCTCAGCGCCATCGACCGGAGCGTCGGCTAGCGTCAGCCGATGATACTGGTCCTCAGCCCCATCCACCAGGGTCAGCCGTTGACATTGGGTCTCAGCGCCATCCGCCAGGGTCAGTCGTCGACCCCGGGCCTCAGCGCCATCGACCAGAGCGTCGGCTAGGGCAGCCGATGATGCTGGTCCTCAGCCCCATCCACCAGGGTCAGCCGCCGACCCCGGGCCTCAGCCCCATCGACCGGAGCGTCGGCTAAGGTCAGCCGATGATACCGGTCCTCAGCGCAATCCACCAGGGTCAGCCGTCGACCCGGGCCTCAGCCCCATCCACCAGGGTCAGCCGTCGACCCCGGGCCTCAGCCCCATCGACCGGAGCGTCGGCTAGGGTCAGCCGATGATACTGGTCCTCAGCCCCATCTACCAGGGTCAGCCGTCGACCCCGGTCCTCGGCACAATCGGCCGGAGCGTCGGCTAGGGTCAGCCGATGATACTGGTCCTCAGCCCCATCCACCAGGGTCAGCCGTCGACCCGGGCCTCAACCCCATCGACCGGAGCGTCGGCTAGGGTCAGCCGATGATACTGGTCCTCAGCCCCATCCACCAGGGTTAGCCGTTGGCATTGGGTCTCAGCGCCATCCGCCAGGGTCAGTCGTCGACCCCGGGCCTCAGCCCCATCGACCGGAGCGTCGGCTAGGGTCAGCCGATGATGCTGGTCCTCAGCCCCATCCACCAGGGTCAGCCGTCGACCCCGGGCCTCAGCCCCATCGGCCGGAGCGTCGGCCGCCGACCCTGCGCCGCCACGACGCTCGCGTGACCGGGGTCGGTTAGGCCGCCGCCCGAGGGCCGGCTCGGGCGCTGTTTTTCTAACCTGGTCAGCGGATAACGGTTCGAGTTCCCGGCTGATTCGGGCCAACGGCCGTGAAGTTGGCGCGACGGCGCACGAGGGCGCGATTCGGCGCCTGAAGACCGCTCTCAAGGTGTGGAGGGGAGGTCGGTGCTCAGCGTCCATGAATTTCAGCTGAATCTGTCGATGCAGACAGGAAGCTTGACTAGCCGGGGAGGTACAGACGAAGGTAGCTAGTTGTTTATGTTGATCTCCTGAATTAGAGTAAGCACGCCTACGAATCAAACTCCCACCCTTTAAGCTACGCAAACGGCTTCTGCTCACCATAATCTCACCGGGGTCGCTAACTGGCACACCTAAACTTTGCCAGGACCTCGGTCTGACCGCGGTCTCACCATTGCTGCCAGTGTCATCCACTGCCTAACATACCAGGCTGACCACTACTCCCACCAGATAAGTCTTGGTTTACATCAACTGGGACGTTGGATTACACCAAGCACCTCTAGTTTGGTCGCGGACCGCCTGGGGTTATGTCCTCAGTTTCGCATACTATCACTGATATCAAGCGCTGTCCATGTCCTATAATCTACTGTGTGCTAGTATGCTGTACTATACATGTTGAATGCTCAGTGATTACCCAAGCCAGAAGTGAAGGATACCATCAACAACTGCTGGGCTATTTATCGTCGTGTTTTTATTTGTTTGTGTCTGCAATGCCACACCAATATATATGTACATATGCGTGACCAATATGTATGTGCATGTGCATGACCAATATGTATGTACATATGTATGACCGATGTGTTTGTACATGTCCCACTCTTTCTGCCATCGAGGCACGGGCTCGTGGTCCCCTGACTCACGAGATATCTTCTGCGTTGCCCGCAATGTTGCTGCCCTCACGGAGTTCCCGTCGCGTCAGGCTTTTTAAGATCTATTATCTCTCTTCTCGGTTGCTTTGCAATGCGTCCTGCTACTAGGCCTAGCAAGGGTAACAGATCAACGCTTGCAAACAATTGTTTCAGCGTGAATGAACGCTGAGTTGCTACAACACTTTCTGCTTCTTCGTCGTCATTTTTTGGAATGTGGGCTGTCGTGATCTATCATTTTGGCGATTCTAGATTTCAAAACATTGCTTATATCAGGGGAAACTGGGACAATGGGATGTTTGCTCAGAAAAGTGTGTCCGCGATGTTTATTCAGCGCCAAGCGCGTATTCGCCAGCTGTGTTAGCTTTGTTGGCGCCGACTCCCCGGTTGCGTGTGGCACAGACCTGGTTTCGACCGTATCGCTGCCCGGCCTCAGGAGCCACGCCGGCCAGGGCGCCCAGCTTCAAGAAGCACCCTCTCGGGACTGCGTGTGGCGGCGGCGCCTTCTGCACCAGCCGCGGCGCCGTCAGTGAAGGACTGGGGCGGGCCGCTCCGTTCCACCCACCGCTGGGGCGGGCCAGGGGGGGGGGGGGGTTGTCGGGACTGCCGTGCGTGGCATCTAGGGCAAGGCCGTTCCATTTGTACGCGCGGTGGCATGCGTGGCCGCCACGCACCCCATTCACCCCGCCATCGACCGGCAGCCGGCGCGGGGCGGGCAGGCGAACTGTTGTGACTGGTGACACCGCTGCCGCCACGCTGGCGGCGGTGTCACCACCCCACAGTTGACCCGCCGCCGCCGGTGATCCACCGGCTTAGGCGATCGCTTCTCGCTGACCGAATCCGCTCAAGCGTCAGGTCGGCGTCGCGTGAGGCGTGAGACAGTGCTCCCGCCACAAACAGACGGCTTTCCTTTGGACAATGGGCGACGTTAGCGGGTCGAAACGGTGCGGCGCGGGCGGCTCTGACGGCGGGTCGCTGCCTGCAGGACTCGCTCGGCGGCAACACCAAGACCATGATGGTGGCCTGCCTCTCGCCGGCCGACAACAACTATGACGAGACGCTGAGCACGCTACGCTACGCCAACCGCGCCAAGCAGATCAAGAACAAGCCCAAGATCAACGAGGACCCCAAGGACACGCTGCTCAGGGAGTACCAGGACGAGATTCGCAAGCTACGGGAGCAACTTGGAGACGGTGGTGCGCCGGCGCCCGCCCAGCTTGAGAAAGGTCGGTAGATGGCTAACTTGGCAGGGGCGGATCCAGAACTGCATCACGGGGGAGGTCAAGGGCTGCTTGGAGGTCATCTCCCCAATTTGAGGGCCCTTTGTGTCAAAGAAAGGAAAAATATTGTTAGGATAGGTGTTCTCCATCTCCTCAGGACATGCCATTGCCCCATCGCTCCTCGAATGAGACCTGTCGTCGCAAATTGACATAACCATTTATCACGATGGAGCGGCTGCTTGCACTGCGGTCGGACCTTTGCATACGCTTTCCTGCATTATTGGTGATGAATAGTCTACGGAGAGCAACACTGTGCCCGCTTTTTACTCTGTCATTGGCACTATTGATACCCCTGTCTTCTTCAGTTGCGTTATTTTTTCGAGATTTTCTCTCTCCTCGCCACGATACATTACACGTACTATGTATTTCTCTCCATTTTCTCAGTTGTGGACGAGGAAGCTGTTGCCAAAGAAAGGGAGAGGCTAAAAGCCGAGTATGAAGAGGAAATGAAGAAAATGCGTAAAGAGCTGGAGGCTCAGAAGAGGTTAGGAGAATCCACCGGAGGCCAAAACAAAAAGAAGCTAGAAAAAGAAGCAGAGAAAATCAGACAGGAGTTCTTGGAGCGGGAAAAGAGGCTTAAGGTCAGGCTCATTGTTGGCGTCGTGGTATCTGCGATGCCTTGAAAGAGACAGACCAAAGGTGGAGTATGAAAAGTGACTGAATGTGAGGGAGAGCGAGTCCGTTGCGTTGCTACGTCGTTTGCAGAAAGGGGAGTTATGCACGTTTCTAATATTTAACCTTGTTGTGGTTATGAGGATGATGCACTTCTGATAAACATGTGGCAATGAAAGCATGTGATGTCGACGATGACACATGAAAGCGTTCTCAGCTGGCTCAGTAGCCATACCAGCCCATGATTCGTGCCAGTCGGCCAGGATATTACCTCTGAAATGTCGCCGGGGGACATAGTCCTGTGCACCGGCGGCTTGGGGCAGTGATGGGAGCCACTACGCTTACGCCGGCCATCACCTGATCAGCTGCTTGGACGTTCGCAGGAAGAGCTGGAACACCAGAGATCCCTGCTGACCGGCGGCGCCATTCCAGACAACGTCGATCCGGAGATATACGAGAAGTACGCGCATCGCATTAAAATGTCCTAGGACGGCTGCTCACGTCTTGCAGCAAGTCTGAAGTTGATTAGATGCAAAGCTGTTAGATTGACACCATCTGCAATTGCTATCCGGTCGTTTGTCGCGTAACTTTACACGTTCGCCTATTTATTCGTGTTTGTCATGCAGATCAGAACACATGCCCTGATGTAGGCCGTCAGCTGCGGTAACAACAGCGGCGAAATCAGCATAATCTCAACGTGCATCCCATTAGTGGTGTATACAGACAGCTTTGCACAGCAGGCTCGGCTCGGCTCAGCCCATCCCCTCCCCTTCCGCAGACTGAAGACGCTGCAGAATCAGATGGTGGGTGGAGAGCAGGCCAACAACCAGCAGGCCGTACAGAAGCGCAAGAAGGTCAGCGAGGAGGTGCAGCGACGTCGCAAGGAGATCGCCAAGGCGGTGGGTCGCGGCGCGGCCGAGGGTGAGGACGACGACGAGATCCTGGTCAAGGCCTACGATGACGTCCAGGCCACGCTCAAGGCACGCACCGAGCTCGCCAAGAAGATGAAAGTCCGGGTGCGTATGGGTGAGACAGTGCAGTCGGGCGGTTGGAGACCGGCTCTGTGGGCGCGGTGATTGAGTTAACTGCCGCGTTTAGCATGGTGTTAGTAAGAGCTAGTCTCACGAGCATTGCCTCCTGTTTTTGTTCGAAGGTGATGCACACTGATCATTATTGTTATCGGTACTTGAATTACTCAGTTTCCCGAAGCTATTCCTGCAGTTGCTGTTGGCGTTTGGGTGCAAGCTACGGCCGTTGCATACATCTTTAGATATAATTGCGGTTGTTGGTTCTGCTGATATCCAGAAGTAGCATCATTATTCAGCCGCTGCAAGACAGGCATGGCTGCATGTCACCGCTGCCCCCGCATGAAGCAAGTAGTGTCCTCTTCACTGGCACCATTGCTCGCTGGACGAACGGCATCATCCGCCGTCGCCGTCCTCAGTTGCGGGCACAGGAGGAGGAGATCCGCGACATCCAGCGGGAGTTCGCCACAGAGCGCGACGACTACCTCGAGACGATCCGGCGTCAGGACCAGCAGCTGAAGCTGATTGCAGCAACTGATGGAACGCGTGCAGCCCACCATCCGCAAGGATTGCAACTATGCCGACGTCGAGGCCATCAAAAAGCAGGCGGTGTGGGACGAGATCGACCAGCGCTGGCGGCTGCCCGATGTCCAGGTGGTCAAGACCAAGCTGCCGCCCGCCGGTGAGCCAAAATTACAGACTCTTTCAGGATCAGACGTCTACGCTAGCCTGTTCTACATTGTTGGCCGCCGGTGGAGTGAGCGCTTTCTTAAAAAATGGGTTCTTCTTCTGACGGAGTGTGCCCCTAACTGCCAGGTGTACGTGCCACATGACTATTGGACATTGCCATCTGATGACATACGGGTTTTAATCCTTAGATTACGTGTCTAATACCCGTTTCCGCAATGGGCAAGGATTTCCAGCGGTTCAGTTGGTTAGAGCACCTGCCACCCAATTCATCCATCCGTGGCGGGGTAGGTTCGAATCGCTTAAGGCGCCTGCTATTGGCCCCTGACTGTGCTGGCCTGCGGCCGCGCTAAAGAACAAGTCACTTCAAAGGGCAGGACGGACCGTGCCGTGCATCTAGGCACGCTAAAGTATTCGTCACCAAATTCTGCAGTTCCCCCGAAATTACACGATCAGATGGTGGGTTCAGGCCTCACGCAACCAGCACTGCCCAGCATGGGCGCTGACTCTAGACACCAAAAGCATCCGAGCAAGACAGTGGCGACTGAATTTGTACAACCAAAGCTTTAGAAAGCTTGACCCCACAAGGGCAGCCGGATTGGTGTGCCGACTGTGGCTGTGGAGTGAGCGGCGGGGCGCTGCAGCCTCGGCCCCGCACCGTGGGGCTGCCGGCGCATGCGCGCTAACCGCTGCATTCCCGGTGCCAGGCCCCTCCGGTGTGCTGGGCGGCCCCGGTCTGAGCAGCTTCAAGGGACCGGGACAGAGCGGCGGCCGCGCGCCCTCGCAGACGGCGCCGGCTCGACTCGGCATCGCATGGGACAGCGAGGAGGAGGACAAGTTCCTCAAGGTCAGCTCCACTCGACGGTGGTGGTGTAGGTCCGGCGGGGAAAGACGCACGGGTTAGCTGAGGGTTGAGGAAGGATTTTCCTTCGTTCGTTGGGTTTCGCTGCTGCTATAATGAAACAGCCTCAAGCTCTGCCTTCATTCCAACCGGACTCCCAAGGTAAGTCAGCCAGATATGGATAGCCCTTTCAATTATCTAATAACTCGTGTTTTCGTGTCTTGCTTGTCACCAGCCACACGTCATCGAATTTCATCTTCATTCAAAATGACAACATAAAGGTATGAAGCAGTATGGAAGCCCTGATCTGTTCCACCACAAACTCGTTACTCTTCCAGCGGTTGGAACGCAGTGCTGAGGAGAATGTCGCTGGACAGTATTTCAAACCCTGCTGGAAACCGGCAAGCAGAAATATTGTTCAAAACTCAGCAAACAGCGGAGAAGAAGCGGCCAAACTTAACCAAGGTGAGGTGTTTGCGAAAGCCAAATAGAAAGCCAGCCTCCGGATTCGCTTCATTCAATCATCCATGCACCCATTGAAATATAATTACGAACCACGCTTCTTCGACATGGCCTCCGTGGCGCGCTCCTCAGTTCTTATCGTGACTGATATACCTGGCACACATTCATAGCAATTTTGTCTTGATCACGTGACAGCGATGGTATTTCAGAGCCGTAATCCTCCGGCAGCTCTTAAACACACATTGCGTGCCAGCGAGACAAGGTAGTCCTCTTTGCTGCGAAACCGCCGTCATGTGCACCAATGCCCCATGGTTACATCCTAATCCACGGCGAGGATTCACTGTTCCACAAATGGTTTTACGACGGTCGGTGACGTGACAGCTCGCCCATGATGTGTGAGTCCTGACGACTGTTGGTAACGTGACAGCTCGCCCCTGGTGCGTGTCCCCTGACGACGGTCTGTGACGTGACAGCTCGCCTCTGGTGCGTGTCCCCTGACGACGGCCAGTGCCGTGACAGCTCGCCCATGATGTGTTGAGTCCTGACGACTGTCCGGTAACGTGACAGCTCGCCTCTGGTGCGTGTCCCCTGACGACGGTCTGTGACGTGACAGCTCGCCCCTGGTGCGTGTCCCCTGATGACGGTCAGTGACGTGACAGCTCGCCCCTGGTGCGTGTCCCCTGACGACGGTCTGTGACGTGACAGCTCGCCCCTGGTGCGTGACCCCTGACGACGGTATGTGATGTGACAGCTCGCCCCTGGTGCGTGATCCCTGACGACGGTCAGTGACGTGACAGCTCGCCCCTGGTGCGCGATCCCTGACGACGGTATGTGATGTGACAGCTCGCCCCTGGTGCGTGATCTCCGCCCTTGTCGTCTAACTTGGCTCCCACGTCAGTTGCAGATCGCATGCGCCCCAACGGGGGGCAATAGCTTCGGTATGAGCTTTAGTCACAACGCCCTCAACACGTTGACCAATTTCAACGGCTCGCTGAACGGTTCGTTGAACAGCAACAGTTCGAGGAGCAGCTCGTGGGGCAACTCCCCAACCGGCCACCTGGGACTGACGAGCTTCGGTACACCCGCCCGCCGGCCGACCGGGACCTGCCCGTCCGCTCTGTGCTGCGTGCCGTGCCGTGCCGTGCGCTTGTGTGCGGGTCCTCGCACGTCCTCCGGGCCGGCGGTGCCGCGACTCCGCCTGGCCGGTCGGGTCCCGGGGCGGTTTGTATCCCGACGGGCGGGTGGCACGCGGTCGCGGGCGGCAGACTGGCCGAGCGCTAACGCACTGTGCCTGCTGCGTTCCAGAGGCGCACTCCTCCAATGAGAGCTTAGGCAGCGGGAGCCCCTCCGGCTCCCAAACCTTGCTGGACACTTCGCTGAGTTTCTGGTCGGCGTCCAAGCAGTGGCTAGGTACCTGGCTTTCGTTGTGGTCGGGCGATGTTGCCACTCGCCATGCCCCTGTCAGCCACGCCCGGCGCGGTGGTCGCACGCGCACTCCATGTCCGGTCCGCTTGCCAAACCCTCGCCGCCACCGCAGGTCATGACCTCGCCTCTGCAGGCCGTGACCTCGCCCCCGCAGGCCATGATCCCGCCTCCGCAGGTCATGAACCTCGCCTCCGCAGGCCATGGCCTCGCCTCCGCAGGCCCTGACCTCGCCTCCGCAGGCCATGGCCTCTCCTCTTGTCAGACCCTGCCCGGCTCTTTAGGACCGCGACCTTGCGGCGCCGTTTGCCGCCGGCAGCGTCTGTACGCTCGCCTGTGTTGCGATGTTTCTCACGCCGGATTTCTGTAATAGTCATGCATGAGGCCGGTAAAAATCCTTACGAATATCTAAAATCTGCTCACATATCTGCCAGTTGGTGTTTTAAACCTCCCGCTGCTGTCCGGGCTATTCAAATCTTTTGTTTCTTCCCATCACGTGGTTGTTGCGTATCCACGGACATACCAGAAAATTCGTGATTCTGAGCGTACGACCCAGAATTAAGGCGGTCATTTGACTTATTTACACATGCTGTGCATACAACTACGCATTCACTAACGGCGTGAGGACAGGCAGGATATGTATCTTTCGTAACGCCCTGCTCTTTCTATCTGACTGCAGGCCTTTGCGGTCTCCCGCTATTTTTCCATGCGCCTTGCTCGGTCCGTGGCCGTGTGCATTCCAACCAGCGGAAGGGGCCCGTCCGAATCACTTGACAGCCGTCCTCATCCACCGACCCTTATCACGCGACAGCTGTCCTCACCTGTTCGCCCTCATCTCGCCACAGCCGGTCCTCACCTGGCCGCCCTTATGACGTGGCAGTCGTTCTCAACTAGCCGTCCCCGTCACGTGACGGACATCCTCACCTGTCCATCGTCATCATGTGATAACCGTCCCTACCTGCCCGTCCTCATCACATGACAGCTAGCCTCACCTGTCCGTCCTCATCACGTAACAGGTATCCCCATCACGTGGCAACCGTCCTCACACCCGCTAACGACGTGGTGACCGGAGTTTGATCAGCGGCCTCGGCCTCGCGCCCCGCGTCCCCACGCCGCCGATACAAACTGTCCCGGGCCGGCGGTGCCTGGCGCGCCGGCAGACCGCATCGGCCATGCCCGCCCGCCCGCCCCGGCCGTGCACGCCTGCTCCCTGCACTGGGTGTGCGTGCGCCAGCCCGATGCGCGCCCGACTGTGAGCGTTGGACTGTCTGTGTCGTCACTGCCGACGAGCGCCCAGCTCTGAGCCGCCCTGCATGCACCAGGCTTGGTGGGTCGGCCACGGTGCATCCCAACAACGGCCGCGTGGCCGGAGGTACGTATGCTGGTGCCGCCCGTGTCCGGGGAGGTTATCAATGGTTATTGTAAATAGGGGGAACGTCCGACACATAGCCATTGCGGGGAAGGTTCGGCTTACCACCCCATAACTGGGGCTTGCTTTACTCCCCTGGCACTTACGTGGCGACGACACTTTTGGTGACGTCCCCAAGTATTTCGTCCGATTATTCTGTCGGTAAAAAAGTCGGTAAGAAGCTCCTTCGTCCTTAGTTGCACGGAGCAACAGTCGCGTGCAACAGGCTTTCCGGTGAGTTAACGTCAAACAAGCTGCGCGCACTTCTTTTTTTGCTTATTCCGTTCTTTTGTTTTCAAGTTTCAGGGGACCCCCGAAAGCCGTGATAGGCCTGTCGTACATGTTCAGCAGTAGGTGATGTGGATAGGGCAGCTGGTCATGACCGTCAACGTCACCGTGCTGCAGGAAACACCTGCTTTGGATGAGAACGGCCCTCAACAACGTGTGTGGGAATCTGGAGTGGTTGAGAGCCCAGGTATGGCGGGAGACCCGTGTCATGAGTGAAAGAAGACCCCCGGCCTAAGCGAGGAGACCTGGGACAGTCGATGTCCGCGGCATGTCAGGAGGCCCGTGTCATGGCATTTATGATAACGACACATTGGAGCACAATGCCCCCTCCGTCTCATAGGAGGTCCTTTTCACCACTATGAGCAGGCTTCCGTGGCGACTCAAGGAAATATGTTGTTCTGCTAGAGATGAGTTCCCAGTGGTATGGTGACAATATTACAGACCTTGTCGAATGACTTTATTGAGATATATAAGTGCTGGTATTGTACTGAATAGGTTGTTACCATTACATGCTTTATTATTTTCCTATCAGCATACGCTAAAGGTTGGTTATCCCAAATAGTTCAAAGAAGTAAGTCGAGTGGTTTAGAAAAGTGACAAGATGGCTGTGTACCAGCAATAACTAATTTGCCATCGTCGATGTTCTTTGAAATACATACATGCATAATTGAGCACTGCATTGCGAAGCAAACGTATGCGTAATGAGGTCCGCGGCGATTTGCAGGTCCCGTTTATTGGCCAACTAACCTGCCGCCGTATTTAAGGGCCGAGACGCGACCACTGACGTGTGCACCTGTATACAATAATCATCGCGGTGTTGGCACACGCATAATTTCCCAATGATTTCAAATTCGGATACCTTGCCTGGCTGGAGTCTGTTAATTGTTTGACCTCGCTTGCGTATTCTTAAAGTATTTCTTTGTACAAAGTGGAAGTAAATATGTGTGTGGTGAATTTGAGCACATGGGAATGTAGATGTGGAAACGTACATCTGTAGGCGGTAACAAGGACATCAGAATTTTGGGCTATGCAATGCGGCTTACCATAGCCTTGAATAGCGTTCTCGTGGGACTGGCTTAAGGGGACTGCAGCCTGGTGAGTATGCTCCGTCCCTCTCCTGCGGTTCCAGTTGGGGTCTCCTGTGGGACTGGCGGCAGGGCCGGGGGCAAGCTGGTAAGTATGCTCCGTCCCTCTCCGGCCTAAGCCAGTGGAGAGCACCTGCATTGTGGCGTTTGTGGGTGTGGAATGATGTCATGCGCCTGCATGTCCCGTTTGACGCATTCGAATCTGAATAACAGCTCCACGCTTCATCCATCCGCATTGTTGCATAATGCATGCCCTGTGTGTCGCGTGAACTTTGATGGCATAATATTTGAGACTGCATTGGTATTTCAACTATGTTGTCAAGTGGGCAGTATCAGAAAATTTACGGAAGTGCAGTTATCGTACCTAATTTCCATGCTGTCTGCCGAGTTCCAACGTGTTGGTAATGTTCCCCCCACTTCCTCATTGCGCCACCAGTCCGTTCTAATACTGTTGCAGGTGTAGGAAACTGCACCGCTTTAATTAGTTTGTGACGTAGGGAGCACTAGCTTAGTTTGCGCCTTATAAAACAATAAGCAAAAACACTTTTCAACGATATTGACAACTCGTCAGTGTACTGGGAGGCTAATATCGCCGGCAGCATGGTTGAAAAGTAAAACATAGTATATGCACCAGCAGCCATGCCATATTTCATGGTGATCAGCATAAATGTGCCAGCTCTCATGGAAGCAAGCCTAATTTTAACCTGTTTTGGAATAGTTGCATCGGAAGTTGCTCGTGGAAGTTGCAGCCGCTGACGCGTCCTGTGGCTGCCCCTCAGGTATGTCCAGCTTCTCCCCCGTGTCGACGAGGAAAACCCAACCGTCTGGCACCGGTGCACGACAAGAAGAAGAACACCATGGACCTGATATAGCCGGCGGCGATGTGTCGAAGCGGACGGAGGGTGGCCGTGGTCCTGCCCTCTGCCCGGCGTGCTGCAGCCACACCTTAGGCGCCAGCTGGCGCGCCTTGTGTGTGTGCATGTGTCTGTGTGTGTTCGCGGGGCAGCGTGCCCTCCCCGGAGTAGCGTTCAGTTGGCTCGCCAGCGCCGACCTGACCTTTGGGGATCCGGCGGACGGCGCACGGGCTGCTTATTGTTGTTAGCGAACGAGCTCAGTGTAATTCGGCGACGTTGCCGCGGCGGGCGGGTGGCGGATGTGCTGAGGTTTTCTGACGAAGTCAATGCTATTAGGTGGCTGCGCCAGTCATCTGGAATTTCGGATAAAAAATGATCACCAACTGGTAGACTCTTTCTGGATGCAAAACTGTATGCACGTTGTCAACCATGTTTGCCTTGGCCATAATTCATTTTGTCTCAGTATTTCCCAAGTAAATAT